CTCCTGGCCATCTTTGTCACAGCAGTAGAAATCAAATTAAAACTCTAAAGCTCTGTTACATGCCATCTTTAGCCAGCGATTATATAGGGAGGGTACTCAAAGGCAACCAATCACTCTAAAGTTTGGTCTTGTCCTGCTGGGCAGGGGCCTTGCCTTGTCTCCAAGACCCTGCTTTTCCCTTTTTAAGGTGTGACTCTGAGCACCAAGTCCATTTGTGTGTTTCTTCTGAGCTACTCGCATGACATCTAGATTTAAGGTTAACTCAGAGGGAACTGTTGACAGTGCAGATGTGTAGAATCCTTTCCTACTGAATGAAATCCAGACTCTTCGGGTACAGACTGTGGAGTGCCCCTATCAGAAGCTTCAGCTGGTCCAGCAAATCCACGTGTTGGGAAGGAGAGCTGCTATTTCAGAAAGACTGTCTAGTGGAGGTCACAGGGTTCTGCATCTCTATGGAAATGTCAAAGTCAAAAATCAGCGTCAGTTGGTGCTATCATCATGGTTCACAGGGACAAGAGTAGGGACATCCATAGGACACTGGTTCACAGCTCCGGTGTGCCACCATCCAGCAATGGTGTGTCTTGGAAAACAAAGATGGGTGCTACTGAATTCCTCCAGCTCAAAGGCTGATGCAGTCTCCTTTGCCAAGGTATTTTTGTTGATGACTCAAAGCCACCCTCCCACTCTTAGTCATAAGTAAAGATGCCAACTATATTTTCTTAAGACAAAAACAATAGGAAAGATACCTCGAACCAGAAAGAGGCCAGAGACAAGCCATAGTATAAACTAAGACATGGCAGGAGATACAAGCATCATCATGCCACCCTGAGGTACTGTCCCTAGGGGCAGGTCAGGTCAGGAAGAATCTTCCCCACTGCCATTTTCCAATGAAGATGCTTTGCTACTGTCACTCCAAATCGACTCTCTCAGGATTAGCAGGAGCTACAGGTTATTGCTGCAGGCTGAGGAACCTAATGTCCACTTGGGCGTGGCCAGGATTATTTAGACGTTGTGAAGTTCTGCTCTGTTCAGGTTAATGGACGAAAGGCAACCTGTGGAGGTTAAAATCAGAGGCCAAAGGGTTTAAGACACACCTTTGGGCCTTAATCATTGTTCATTCCAATTACTCATTTAGACATCATGACTGTTTGTCTTTTGGGTCGGGAAAACCATCACAGAGATGCAAACATCAATCAAATTTCCCTTCTCAAGAGACAGTCTGTTTCTGGACAACATGCATGGACAGGAACATGGCAAGAAAGGCCACTCTAGAGGCTCCCACGGGAGCAGAGAAAGACTCTGAAGGCAACTTGGATGAGGATGTTTGCTGTCTCTCTGTCTCTCTTGATCCCGTTACAGATGACCCTTGCTCACACCTGAACACAGGTCCTCCGAGCAAAGTTAACCGTATGCTCATGGCTAAGGATGTACCCATGTTCACCCCAGCCATAAGTGAACTCCACCTCCTCTTCCAGTGTGGCCTGAGGTGACAAATCTGAGGGAAATGCCTGGGTGGAGGGACAGTGCGTGCATAGGAAGGCATGAAGGACTTGCTGCCTGACAGAAAGCTCATGCTGACAGAAAGGTCATGCTGACAGAAAGGCTCATGATGAGGGCAAGTCAGGTGCCCAGGGGAGCCAGTCAGCACAGCACAGGCTCAGTCAGTGCAGGGATCCAGCTTGGCTGCAGCCGTGTTGAGTCCTAGCCATCAAGAGCATTTTCGAGAAGCCCTGACCTGCTTTCCTGGAGTGGCCTCCCTGTCATTGCAGTGACACATGGGACTTTACAAAGTACCCCAGAGCTGTCAGTGTTAGAGACATGCCTGGTGTCCTTGGTGTCAGCAGAGGCAAGAGCAGATGCGTTTGTCTCTGGTGAATGTCACCATTAACCTGCTCAGCATATAAACCCTTCCCTGTGACCCGTGTGGCGGCCTCCAGGCCTCCTGCTCCCCTTGGCCTCACATTGTTCTGTATTAGTTATTTCTCTACTGTTTGATAAAACACCATGACTAAGGCAACCCAAAGAATAGTTCTTTTGGACTTACAGTTGCAGAGTTTGTCATGCTGGGGAATCCTGGCCGCACGCAGTATGCGTGGTGGCAGAAGCTGAGGGCTCACATCTTGACCTACAAGCTTGAAGCAGAGAGTGGTTAGAAATAAAGCCCACTTCCAGTGACACACTTCCTTCCTCAACAAGGCCATACCTTTTTTTTTTCTTTTTGGGTTTTTTGAAGACAGGGTTTCTCTGTGTAGCCCCGAGTGTCCTGGAACTCTCCTTGTATGCCAGACATGTCTCGAATTCACAGATACTCACCTGCCTCTGCCTCCCAAGTGCTGGAATTAAAGGTGTGTGCCGCCAAGCCCGTTCGGATTCTTCATCTTATCCAGTACCCCTTGAGAGGAATCTGAGACCCATAGCCTCATGAATCCAAACAGTTTTATGTCACCACGCTACAAATTATTTGACTTTTTACTCAATCTAGCTTCACCCCTCCCCCATTCCTCAGTCAACCACTGTCTCAGCAAAAGAATAGGGAGATTCATTGCATTGGGTCTCAGGTCATCCTGCTCCCTTGGAGGACTGGATACTTTCCAAGAGCTCCATCTATTCTCAGCATCAGTACCACCACCACCATCAGCACCAACTTCTGTCATCTGGAAGTCTCTGCCTGGAAGGCACAAGGGTGAATCGGCAATGATGAGACTAAAAGAGCTGGGTGCCGTAAGGTATTGCCCTGTGGAGAGGGATGTGGTGGACCACAGCGTGTTCTGCATGTCCGGAACTCTCACTCTGGCTTTCTCCTGTTTTCAGTTCTCCAGTTTTCCTGCCTTCTCATTCTTACTCCCTTACAGCCCATCCTGTTCAATCCCACTCCCCACTCTAGGTCACTCTAGCATTTGGTTGAATTGCAAGACAATATGTAGATTAATAGAGCTTGTCTCTGGTTCCGTCTGAGTTTGCAGAGGTTGCTTGTCTGGCTTAACTAATTGAATGTGTAAAATTCTAAGTACTCTATTAGGAAGTGATGTATACACAGAGATAGTGAGTCATTGCGAGCATGCCACTGAATGTCTCCTTCCTGTCACTCCTTGTTGCTTCCTGGCTGCCATGTGGTAAACATCTTTCCTTTGCCGTGCCTACCCAACGAACTTGACCACAGAACACACTGCAATTTCACTGGTGTTGACTGTGTCATTTCTTGTGTTTGCAGTAGTCCTTGATTATAGAATCAATGCGACAATCAAGGTAATATTTTTCTATACCACAAAGATACCCTGGTGTTAATCTTTCAGGGTCCTGTGCCTTCCCTATGCCCAAGGCAACCCCCTGATTCTCCACAGCATCCATCATTTTTCTTTTTTTAAAATTTACTTTTATTCTATGTGCATTGGTGTTCTGCCCCCAGGCAAGTCCATGTGAGAGTGTCAGATCTTAGAGTTACAGACAATTGTTAGCTGCCATGCCAGCGCAGGGACTCAACCCGGGTCTCTGGGAAAAGCAGTCAGTGCCCCCAACAACTGAGCCATCTTTCCAATCCTGCATCCATCATTTGTATAACTGGAATCAGATGTTATACCTGTACAATTGGTTCTGTTTGACTAAGCACACGCCTTTGACAGCCATCTGCAACAGTATTGGCACCATTCATTCTTTCCTTTTTGTGGCTCAGGGATCACAGCTCATCATGCTTCCCCACGTACCACGACACCCTCAGAGCACCTGATCTGCATGCAGGACCCTCCAGGGGCAGCAGCTGCATGAACAGTCCAGTTGCCTGTCACTTGTGTATGGCAGGGACAGACTTGGTCACAGCTCCTCCTCTGCACTGTCCTTCCTTTTCCCTGTCCCTCTCTCCTGTCCATTTCTGGGGCCTCTACTCACCTCTGAACATTTCCTGGTCTCATTCCATAGCCTTTTGTTAAGAACACTTCTAAAACCTGAGATACATTATTGCATCACATAGATTTATTTTAAGTTCTTTTTAAATGTATCTATTTTTCAAATTTCCTGCTACCTACTAGAATACTTTCATCACCCATAAAGCAATGCTGAATCTATGAGAAGTCACAACAGTCCATCTTAATTATCCTCACCCCCACCCCCACCAAGGCTTTTTTGTCCTTCATAAAGGAAGGTGTGTCCCTAGGTGGGCAGACTGCGGAGGTGAGGGGACCTGGATGGAAGGCTGCAGGGAGCTATCTGGACACTGGACACCTAAAGTGGTCATTCATTCAAAGGGATGTGGTGTAGATGCTTCTAGAGCCTGGAAGAGTGTAATGACAGAGGTACTGGCTCTTCAAGCAATCTATGTCCCAAAGGACCAGACTGACAGAGTCAGGAGAGAGGACAGGGTTTCAATGTCAAGGATGCGGTGAGCTCTGGTAATGGCTCTTGAGTTAGTTAAGGGACAGAGGCTGAGCACCTGGCACAGCGTTCACCAACACGGGCACATGACAACAGCAGAGAGGATTCAGTGACCATGGACATCGAGGAAGAGGTTGCTATGCAGGTCAGGACTCAGGTAGCTTTCTTTCCCAATTCCATCCAGGGCTCCATTCTGTCACTGCTCTGCACCCCCAGGGAGATGGTTACAGCCACATCAAGCTTTCTCTTAGGCAGAGCATCAAGTCCAAGGAAGGACAGAAGGGGCCGTGGAATACAAGAATGTTCCTCTAACGGACAAAACCTAGAATTCACACAGGTCATCTCTGAGCCCAGTGTTCAGAACTTGGGAAGAAGGATGCTTGAGCTGCAAGGGAGAGAGGACATGGCTCACTGTTGCAGCCTCAGTGTGCCTCTCTGGTCAGAAGGGGAGGGCAACAGAAAGAAGGAAAAATGGTTCTTGTGCAAATTTGAAATATTCTTCTTAAACCACAATAAAGAAAACCGATTTTAAAAGAGGAGGTGACAAAAATCAGGAGGGAATTATCAACTTTCTATATTCAACAATCTAGAAACACATGATGTCACTTGCAGAAAACACACAAAGCAAGACCATGTCAGTGTTTACAAATTTATTCTTCAAATATTATTGATCAGGCATAGCCTTCCTGTGCATGTCAGCAGATCTCATTCCATTACAGCATATTTTATTTTATTTTATTTTTTTTTTTGTTTTTCGAGACAGGGTTTCTCTGTGGCTTTGGAGGCTGTCCTGGAACTCACTTGGTAGTCCAGGCTGGTCTCGAACTCACAGAGATCCGCCTGCCTCTGCCTCCCGAGTGCTGGGATTAAAGGTGTGCACCACCAACGCCCGGCACAGCATATTTTAAACTTCAGTAGGAATTAAACCTTGAGATTTCCCCATGAGTCTGGTAGCAGAGAGCAGAACTCACCAGCCATATCTTATCACCTCTCCTTCTTCGTAGAATCCACACCTGCCATGTAGGACAAGAACCTGTCCTACAGATGATGTTCCACGAACTCTTTCCTTTCTACCATCTGAGCGTTTCCCCATCACTCCCTGTGACCAAACTATGAACAAAGAAATGGGGTTCACATCCAGAGTCTGATTGCAAGATGTGGAAATACTTGGGAAAATACAAGAGTTAGGCCGTACTAGGAAGGAGGATACAGTCTCTATGCAAACAACCAGAAAGCAGTGGAAAGTTGGCAGCTCGGTGGCCTGTGAGGATGGTGAGCCTCAGCTAGGAGCAGTGTGGGGGCATGACTGAGGAGTAGCCATGCTGTGGCTTAGTCAGGACCTGGATGTGCTCCCCAGCCTGGGAGCTTGGTCCTTATGTGGGGTGTCGGAGATTGTTGGACCTAAAGTTGGAGTGTAGTGGGAGGTCACAGCCTGTCCATTTGTGTTCTGGATTCAATTCTCTCAGTGTGGCCTCTCCCTCCAGCAGGCACTACCACCATTGCTGTTAAGGGGACACAGTCAGGAGCTATCATGTGTCCATGGCTCTGTCCAGTACATCTCCCACCCTCGGTCCTCTGAGCTGCACTAAGGAGAGATTACTGAGTCAGGATGTCATGGACCTGGATGAGTTCTTGCAACTTCTCTTCCAGGTCCTGAGCCTGCTTCCGCAGCTCTGCCGCAGACTCTGCCTTCGCACCCTCGTGCAAATGCTTTGAGTCTTTCACAAGGCTGACCACATCCATCACAAGGAAGAGGCCTGCAGTGGCTGCACCCATGATCCGGGCTCCTTTGGTCATTGCCAGAGCAGTGCCTCCAAAGGCTTTCTGCACCTGTCTTGTTTTTCGGGCTGACACTGTCCCTGTTGTCATGAGACGCTTGGCATTATTAGCTAGGCGAGGGCTGGCATTGGCCAGCTTGATGGCATCAATGTTCTTCTTGATGACTTCCAGGTTTTGGAAGCAATTCTTAGATACAGAAACAAACCTGGGGGCACTCTTCTCCAAAATTTCTTTAATGGCCTTCCCTGTGTCGTTGTTGGTTGGCACCAGCTGCCTGGCTTCAGCTTCCGCTGACACTGTGCTGACCTTTTCCACAATGCTTGTGGAAACACTTGTCACAGCCGCTGCTGCCCCGAGCCCCAAGCCTGTGGCTGAAAGTCCCAGACTGACTCCTGCTGTCACAGGTGCCAGAGCGAGGCCAAGGATTGTCAGGATTCCAGACACAGCACTGGTGGAGCTGGCCACCACTTGTGTGATGGTGCAGTCCCTGTGCACCTTGTCAATCTTGTCTGCAAGGGCGTGGAGCTTCCCGATGAGCTGCTCAAGCTCCAGTTTCACCCGAGGATAAACATCCAAAAACCTTGTCTTCTCCTCCAGGTCACTTTGGAGATCGTCTTCATCATCTCCATCACTGCCCACTGTGGTCTCACTAAGAGCTTCACTCAAGGCATCTTCCTCGTCCCTGTAACAGGAGAGGCTCACTGAGTGAGGAAGACAGCTTGTAAAGTAAGGGCTGTCCCGTGGAAATCACAGAGCATTGGTTGTGCATGAAATGGAGGAGAGAGTTAGAGCTGTAGAGGATCTTTCCTTCATTGATGATCAGGTTTGACCCACCATACCATCTTTAATTGTTAAAGACACAATATATTAAAATACTTTAAATTTTTATTTAGTGCTTTTGAGTGTTTTGCCTACAGTGTGTGTGTGTGTGTGTGTGTGTGTGTGTGTGTGTGTGTGTGTGTGTGTAGCAAGTGCAGCCCTGGTGCCAGGGGAGGGCAGAAGAAGGAATTGGGTCTCTGGACCCGGAGTTACAGACAGTTGTGAGTCACCATGAGGTGCTGGGAATGGGACCTCAGTCATCCGGAAGAGCTTTCAGTGCTCCTAACCCTGAGCCATCGCTAGACCTTAACACACCCTTTGCTGCTAGACATGTAACAAAGATGCCTTCCCCTCAACGTCAGTGTCGTCACTACCAACTTCCTTCTGTGTAGGAACTCTAAATTAACACTGAGGAGTGAGGTTAGAGGAAAAATAATCCTATATTTAAGGAAAGGTTTGTGTCCTCGGAAGAGTTCACTGCTCCCAAAGAAAAGCCTCCTCTTGTCCTCCTCTACTGGGAAATGATCTGCCTCCCTACAGTGCCCTGCTGGTCAGGGATGTCCATGCTAGCTAGGAGACATGGATAGAAGGTCTGCAAATTGCACATGCCTAAGAGAGAAACCCCACATGGGACAGTCTGTGAAGCTGCATGTCCTTTTGCTCTGCAGGTGTGTGTACACCTGAGCTGGTGTGGCCGCTCACATAAGACCCAGCACTCAAACACAGCACTAAAGTTCCTGCCTGCTGTGAGCAGAAGATAAAGAAACATGAGCGGATTCCTCACTTAAATGTGGGCTCCATCCCCAGGAAATCTCACTGCGCCTCTGCAAGTGTTTCCGTAGCAGGCAAAACTGAGAACTCAAACCACGTAGGTTCCCTAGCCCTCCCTGAATGATTTCTCAGCCTGAGAAAGGTGATGTGTGGTGGGACTTTGCTGTCATTTCTGACCTCCAAAGGAAGTAGCCACTAAGAGCATGAACTCTAGGAAGGAAGGAGACCTCGGCTCACTCATGGGGACTGTGTATGTGATCAAGGCCCAACAATCTTCTGAACCGTGGGGCTTAGGTGGACAAAACCTTTTCCTTGAGAAAACTTTAGTTAAGCTTTTCTCCACTGCTTCCCGAGTGTGGATTGATCTTGTCTTTCTATGCCTTTCCTGTGCATGGTGGGCATGCCCTGCCCAGGCTTGTCAAGAATCCTAAGTCAGGTTGTGAGAACACTCTACCTTTGATACTTGACACTCAATACTCATTCAAGTTCCCGTGTCTAACTTATGGTGTGTTAGGCCTTGACTTCCCTCAGGAGGAATTCCATGAGGTCAGCTTCACAGTGCCCCTACCTCTCTGCTATCTACTGTCCCTAAGTCAGTTTGTCTGCTATAGTCCCCAGATAAGTGTATATCCAGAATTGTTCTGTCTCTTTCCCTTAGAGGAACAGTCCTGAACAGTATCTTCCTACTGTTAACTATGTCAGAATAATTACTGGTTCCCATGGGAGTTTCTTGGTGTGCGACACTCCATGTGAATTCTCACATGACTACACCTTGAAGTGGACTGTTGATGTGGCTACGTTGGCAAAGTGTTTTCCATTAAAAAATGTGAACCAGAGTTCAGTCTTCCAGTGTCCACATAGAAAAGCCAGGTGCTGGGCATGGCCTTTAATCCCTGTGTGGGGATGCAGAGTCACGAGCATCCCTGGTGTTCCTGATAGCCCATTGTGGTGAAACTGATGAGTTCCAGGTAGATAAAGGTGATTGTTTCTTTTAAAGGGGCTTAGAGGGATTGCTCATTCACTCAGATGATGCACTTCTCTTGCAGAAAAAGTGGCTTTGGTTCTCTGCAACCACACTTGGTGACTCACAGTGGCAGGGAGGGGATCTGAGGTCCCCTTTTGTCCTTCATGGATAACCCTGTGGATTAGGGACCTCACTCATTCCCTGGCTTAATTTCAATAGTTTGTTTCCTTAAAGGTTCTGTGTCCAAATGGAGTAACCTGGGGTTATGGGACATTAGTTTAGGGACACAACTCAGTCTCTCGCACTAGTGACATCATCGAAATAGCTCACGTGCCAAGTGCTCATAAACACATTTAAACAGCTTATCCCTGATGCCATTCAATTCTTCCTTCCTTCCTTCCTTCCTTCCTTCCTTCCTTCCTTCCTTCCTTCCTTCCTTCCTTCCTTCCTGTTTTGGTTTTTCAAGACAGGGTTTGTCTGTGTAGACTTGACTGTCCTGGAACTCAGAGATCCACCTGCCTCTGCATCATCCTGAATGCTGGGATTAAAGGTGTGCACCACCAACACCCAGCACCATTCAAACTCTTATACACAGTCCCCTAACCCTGTTCTTTTTTCCCCAACCTAAGAGAAAAAGCTCATTGAATCTGTGGCTGAGTACCTTTCTGTCTTCTCCTGCTGGTCATTTTGGAGCTCGTCTTCATTTTCTACATCAGGAACTACAATGATGCCACTAAGAACTTCATGCAAGAAAATTTCCTCTTCTCTGTAACAGGAGAGATCGGCTGAGTGAGGAAGACAGCTTGTAAGATAAGCTCACTCAAGTGCAAGAAACACACACACACACACACACACACACATTAAAAACAAAACCTTTTGTACAAAGCAACTTTCAATGAACCCCCTACTATGTGCTGGCCTGTGTGCAGGCCATATGTTAAGCCCACCACACGCATCCTCTTATTTTTCTTACAATGAAGTGCAATGGTCTCCAAATAAAGCAGAAGGTTATAAACTATGTTCCCATGGTCACAGGAACAGCAATGGCAGAAACAATCTTGTCCCCTGTGGTTGCCGTCTCTCCTTAATCAGAAGTTGTTCCCTTCTACTGAACAGCATTGAGGAAATGCTTCCTGACAAGGGACACCCTGAACTCCAGCTACTTGGTCTGCCTGGGTAGAATTTTCCTCCCCAGAAAAAGCCAACCAGGCATGGGCTCTGGTGGCATTGTTAGCATCCCCCAGGGAGGTGACCTGGACAAACCGGTTCCTGCCACAAGCTCTTTCCAGGCTTCCTCTTCAGTCAGCAGGAGCTGCAGGGCTTCTGTGCTCCTTGTGTCCAGGAGGTACCCAACCATAGACTCAAGGAAGAGTGTTCTCTCTTGTGGGCAAGAAAAAGAATATGGTCAGAGGACCGTGCATAAGAGCTTAAATGGCTTCAGGAACAAGCTGGTTAACTGTTTCTCAGCATCTGTTCCTTGAAGTGTCATTAGTGGTAGGGGTTGAGTTGTTTCCTTAACTCATTTGTAAAAGCTCTAATCCCAGGTGACTGTGTTTGGGGACAGAGCTGTTAAGGAACCAAGGGAGGTTGTGAGTGAGGTTCCTAGTCCATAGTATTTGTGTTCTTGTAGCAATCAGAAGAAACTCCCTCTCTCCCTTTCCCTCCTTCTCTGTCTTCCCTCCTCTCCCCTTTCTCTCTTTCCTTACTTCTCTTCAACTCCCAGATACATGAGAGAGGCCATGGGCACAAGCTTCTCTGCCAATCAGGAAGAGAGGACTCCCCAGGGACAAACTGCCACACTTTGATTGTGGATGCTGGCATCCAGGGCAGGGAGAAAATAGGATTTTTCTTTTTAAGCCACCTACCCAGTGTAACTTTGCAATGGCATCCTGAGAAGGCCAATGTACCAGGGAGCTGTCATGTTGATTTGCAGAGATGCATGTCCTTTTCAGCTCAGTACAAGTAGAAAGTGAGCCCCTCATCCCCAGGAAGAGGGAGGGTTCAGTGATGGCTTCCATTTACTGTGTGCCTGTAGCACTGTCCTTGGATGTGACTTTTCTCCTTGATTTTGATGTCATATACAGGAGTATTTGCCTGCTTGTATGCATGTCTATGCACCATGTGGGTGTCTGGTGCCCAAGGAGCACCTTGGATCTCCTGGAGTTGTTGTTATAGACGGATGTGAACCTGTTATGGGTGTTGGGACTGAACCCGTGTCTTCTGCAAGAGCAGCAAGTGCTCTTCACCTCTGAATCACTCTCTAGCCCCAAAGGTGACTTTTGACACTGGAACGGTTAGTTATTCATCCTGAGTTTCAGTCCACTGGATCAATAAATATCTTGGAGATCAGTAGTCCTTATTTGGGTGGTTTGTGTGGGAGCTTCCAGATATGAGTAGATCCTAGGTGCTCTGAGCTAATGAGTGGTTCAAAGACTGAGCTGAGGCATCATGGGAAGTAGGACCTGGCTGGAGTCAGGAGGGCACCTGGGATGTGTCTTGGGGCTGGTGGCTGTCTTGTCCTCACCCTTTCTCGTTGCTGCTTTGCCTGCTTTTTGTGTGTCATGATATGAGATGCCCACACTGTCTTCCTTACAATAATCATACAATTTTGCAAGCAAAACATATCTATTCTCATTAGTCAAAATATGATCAAAGTAAAACAAAACAAAACAAACAAACAACCCCCTCAAACACCTAAAAAACAGAGAGCCTAGTGGTGATGACAAATGCATTTATTCCTGCACTTGGGAGGCAGAGGCAGCCAGATCTTTGTGATTTTAAGGGCAGCCTGGTCTATAAAGTGAGTTCTAGGATGACCATGATTATTACACAAAGAAAACCTGTCCTGAAAAACCAAACCAATCCGAACCAAAACAACCCCCCAAAAAACCCCAAACAAAAAACAAAACAAACCAAACCCCAAAACAAACAAAGATCAAAGTGAGTAATACTTGTTTTGAAATTTTGAAATATGCATTTAAAAATATGTGCGTATGTATGTCTATGTGAGGGTGACAGATCCCCTAGAACTGGAGTTACAGACTGTTGTAAGCTGCTATGTGGGTGCTGGGAACTGAACCCAGATCCTCTGGAAGAGCAGCCCAGTATTCTCAACCATTGAACCATCGCTCCATCTCTGAGCACCACTAGTTTTTCATTTTTATTTTCTGTTTGTTTTTTTCAAGACAGGGTTTCTCTGTGTAGCTTTGGAGACTATCCTGGTACTCGCTCTGTAGACTTGGCTGGCCTCGAACTCACAGAGAATCTCCTGCCTCTGCCTCCCGAGTGCTGGGATTAAAGGCATGCGCCACCACTACCCACCAAGCACCACTAGTTTTAACAACTAGCTTTTAGTGAATGAATGAACGAATGGTCTACTGAGCCAATAGAATAATTTTAAAAAGGAAATGTAGGCAGAATAGTGGTGTATGCCTTCAATCCCAGCACCAGGGAGGCCAAGGTAGGTAGATTGCTGTGATTTGAGGCCAGTAGAAGTCATGGAACACAGGGATTGGAAAACTAGCGCATACTAGGCTGGTGTAGGGCGGTTCCTGGGTATAGAGGGGCTCCTGGATGTAGGGTGGTTGCTGGGTATAGGGAGGTTCCTAGGTGTAGGATGGTTCCTGGTGTAGGAGGTTCCTGGTGTAGGGTATTTCCTGATGTGGGGTGGTTCCTGGTAGTGTGGTTGCTACGTGTAGGGTCTTTCCCGGTGAAGGGTGTTCCTGGTGTAGAGGGTTGTTCCTAGGTGTGTAGAGTGGTTACTGTTTAGGAGCCAACTGAAAGTGGAGTTTTTTTTTATTTTATGTTTCTGGTCTTTTTTTTTCTTCTGGGTTTTAGCTTCAACTTCAGGCTTTTCTTTTAAATGAGAAAAGAAGCCATCAGGCCCCACCTTAGGTAGGCACAGCTGGTAAACAAGCACTTGTCCTGCAGTGCACGGCAGGGGCCTGGATCCATTGGAATTAACGGGGTCCAGGGAGAGGAGGCAGCCAACAGGGAGGGCTGGCTGTGCAGCAGGCCCGGGTCTGCCTGTTTGCTATTCTGATCTCAGAACGACATGGGGACACTCAGCCTGGAGATGTGGGTAATTTGAGGTGACAGTTTCCAGGTAGCAGAGATGGACTGTGGGGCCAGACTCCCTGAGGTGCAGTAGATTCCTGCTGAGGCAGTTAGAACAGGTGGGGTCCTGAGCTGGAGCAGGGTGGGCTCCCTCCTCAGGGACAGCGCCCCAGGGTCAGCTGAGAGCAACCTCCATAGAGACGGGTGCTGGCTCCCATCTCAGTCCTCCTGCCTCCTGCTCCTTCCATTCTTCTTTCTCTGCCTCTTTCATCTCCTCTCTTCTGTCCCTACCCTCCCTCCCTCCCTCCCTCCCTCCCTCCCTCCCTCCCTCCCTCCCTCCCTCCCTCCCTCCCTCCCTCCCTCCCCTGCTGGCTTCCATTTTTCAGGCTGGGTATTGAGGAGCCTCCTGAGAATGAACCCCAATACAAGACCAGGAAGGGGGCCTCTCTGACCCAGGCCTGGGGAACTCTCTATGCTCCCCCTTGGGGTTCTCCTCTTGTACCTTTGACTCCTCAGCAGGCACTCAGCAGGGAGGCTCTGGCAGTCCTAGGCCAAGGGCAGCAGAGAACAAGACAGCTTACCTGGGGAGCCCATGACAGCTGCTGGGTCTTGGTGTCACTCAGGGGATCCTGGCAAGTTTTCCTTACTTCTCAGCAGGCGTCCAGGCTACTGGAAGAAAAACAACCGGTGGAACAAAATGGGGATAGCTGCTGTGACCAGGGCATTTGGTGACCCACAGGTCATTCAACATGGTTGCCAAGGACAGTAAAACTTGACCCAATGCATGTGTGTTTCCCTAGCTCTGTGACTGTTATTTAAAGAAGTGTGTCTTAGTGACTCCAGTCCTGTTACCCTCTCCTCCTCCAAGACAGAGGACTCCTGTCCTGTTGGGGACAATGGAGAAGGTAACAGTTGAAGACACAGCTGTAGAGAAACAATGGACTCTTCCTATAGAAGGAAATATGGTGAAGAATGTTCTGGTAGACACCTGCAGTATTAATGGTATTTTGTATTAATGATAGTTTCTTATACTGACTGTCTAAGTCCATGTTTTGTTGCTGTCAAGAGACACCATGGCTAAGGCACCTCTTATACAAGAAAGCATTTGATCGAGGCTTGCTTACGGTTTCAGAGGTTTACTCCATTTACCACAATGGTGGAAAGCATGGCGGCATGCAGGCAGACCTGGTGGTTTTATAGTTGAGAATTCTACATACAGATCCACGGGCAGCAGGAAGAGAGAGACTCTGGCTTGCCTTAGTTTTGAAACCTCAAAGCCCACTTCAGTGACACACTTCCTTCAGCAAGGCCACACCTACTCCAACAACACTACACTTCCTAACTACTCTCAAGTAGTGCCACACCCTAATGACCAGGCATCAAATATATGAGCCTATGGGGGCCATTCCTGTTCCAAACAGTGACACTTACCGTCCATGATGCTCTGGGTTCCTTACTCGTACATAATGAAGTCTTTGCACATGCTCTATTAGGTTGAGATTTTCTGACTCCATGTCAAGAGGGTGGGACAGGCACATATTTGCCTAATGTGTGTGAGTTTTCAGTGTAGACAGAAGGAGGACTTGAACCCAGAACATGCTAATCCATATCTCACTTGCGTATGACTAAGATCCACTGTCTTAAAACACAACTGCATTCCCTTGTCTTTATATTACACGTGTGCATCATAGTGTGTGTGAGTGTGTGAGTATGTGTGTGTGTATATGTATGTATGTGTGTGTGTGCTATAAATGCTTCTTATCCACAGCACTGCCTGTGCCAAGTACCAGGTCCTCATCTTAGTACTTTTACTGGGGTCCTCTGTGGTTCCCAGGAGACATCTCCTTGCTTCTGTGACATCCTTGTCCTATCAGGATGGTCCCTGCCCTGCTGTGTGCTGGCCTTGACACATGACTCCTGGACCCTGTGGTGTTCCTAATCATTATGTAAATAGCAATGCAAAGAATGTTCTCGTTGCCTGTTAGTGCCTGCGTTTCAGACTATTTCCTTATCAAATTTGTGGAAGTAGAAGGACTGGGTTAAGGGCGCTAACATCTAACACGGGCAGCGTGTGAGGATGCTCACTCCTTCCTTCTGAGCAGTCCTCAGTAGTCTGTGGGGTGGGGAACACTTCATAAAGAGAGAAACACAAACTGACTGACTGTGGGTCGGAGGCATCAGCTCCTCCTGGGACCTGACCAAATGAGGCTGAATGTTGTGTTCCTGTGGTAACAGCTGAAGATAGGGCAGCTCACTCTCAGGACTGGACTCTGCCCTTGTAATGACGACTCAGCGTTCTTGCCCAAACCTTCCATGTGAACAAAGCCCAGGCTGGCCTCCTAGGAGAACCATAAACTCCTAATCTTAGGCCTGCCACACCCAAGTGTTAGGATTCCAGGTTTGTGCACCCTCCCCTTGTTCAAATCTTCTCACACGAATTCTTAATGAAATACAAAGTGCATTTCAAAAACGGTAAGAGTCAGTCAGAGTCTGAGACATACAGTGTTCGAAAGTCCCCTCCCCAAAGTGAAACCCAGGGTCAGCTCCTCAGGGCTGGCATGCTTCCTGTTCAACAATGCCAACAGGGTCTTTGGACTTAAGGTGATAGGGTTGGAGTCATCTCATCATTGGCAGGTTAAAAAAAATCACATTAATACAGAGATGTATCTTAAAAACAATTTACTGGCCAAAGAATTTAAACATCTGGAAGATGCCCATTGATGCAGCCAAATGCGTACACATCCCCATGTAGCTGTTGGGCTGTGGAAGGTTGTGGAGATTTGAGGGACAGTTAACAACACCCACCCAGGACTGTAATGTGCCCTGTTGGGGCCACAGACACCCATATGTGGAGCAGGCAGACAGCAGAGAGAGTCTGTGGGAACCTTGAGCAGGGGTGCCTGGGGCAGGTCAGAGTAGCTTTAAGGACAAAGTGGGGGGTAGGAGGGGTGCCCATCTGTATTTGTCAGGGTTCCCTAGAGTAACAGAACTTATAGAATAGATCTCTCCATATATATAGAAAGGGGATTTATTAGAATGACTTACAGGCTGTGGTTCAGCTAGTCCAACAATGCTGCCCATGAATGGAAGGTTGAAGACTCCAGTAGCTGCTCAGTCCACAGGCTGGATGTCTCAGCTGGTCGTCAGCGTCTGCTGGAATCCCGAGTGGGGAGGCTCTAATGCCAGAGAAGGAGTGGACTTGTTAGTTAGTTGAGACAATCAGCAAAGATCCAACACTTCCTCTTCCATGTCCTTATACAGGTTCCAGCAGAAGGCGTGGCTTAGATATGAGTCAGGGCTCCCTCCTCAAAAGATCTGTATTAAAGGCATGTCTTTCCTTCTCAAGGATCTGGCTTAGGAGTGGGTCTTCCGACTTCAAGTTAAGCAAATACCCCCTCACAGGTGTGCCCTACATTTGGGTTTTAACACAATGTCAGATGTAGTCAAGTTGACAACCAAGGCTAGTCATCACATCACTCAGTCCTCTAGTTCCAGGGGTGCTCTGCCACTCAGACCCAGAAATAAAATATTAGGCAACAAACCCTTTTGGAAACCTGAGGGACAAACGTTGAAACACAGCTTGGTAGAGTCATGTCTGACAGGGAACTGTGGGTGTGCCTTTGTTTATGTGCACTGTGTTGGAAATTTTTTAATTAGTTCAAGTAAAAGAAGTTTGAATTATTTTCATCATCTGTTCGCCGAGTCCTTGATAGTTCTGAGAACCAGGATGTGGGGCATGGCTTCTTCTCTCTGAAAATCTCCGGGATCAGAAACAAGTTCAGACTTCCTGGTATCCACTTTACCATGGCCTCTGGGGCATGTGTGTGTCAATCCTCCAGCTACCAAGGAGAGCAGTGCCCTGGTAGGGATGAGCAGAGCAGCCAATCCTAACACTGCTTATCAAACGAAAAAGAGATATTCTGAGAGAGAAAGTCCTGTATGCAATGTCACACAGCTGATTCTGACGTTGAGAAGAAAATGGTAACTTCAAAGTTTCTAGAATATTCTTTGCGTATATAGACACATAGGTTGCCCCTACCTGGATTCTGCCCTTGCATTTTCAAATACACAGTGGTGCTGTATACAGGATTGCGCACCTTTCCCACCCAACACCCAGAACAGCCTTGCCTCTCTTCTGCAGTCACACACTGAAGAGAGGCTGGTCACGGCCAGGGGATGCAGACTGCACATCCACTGATGCAGCTCCTTCTAGTATCTGGAACAGGGCGCTCTTTTCTGGCCCTCAGTTTCCACCATGGAATATGGCAGACACGTGTTCTGAGAGAGTCATGGTGCAATTTCTGTGTCCTTGTTTCTCTTAAGTCCACCTTAGCACCATCTGTTCATGTGGCAATGCCCTGGGGGCAACTCTAGTTCATGACACAGGGGTGGGTGGACTCTGGGCCCTCTGCTCTGTCCACCATCATTATTCAATTCCTCCTGTTGCAAAGGGACACCCAGAACAGCCACCTTCCCTCTGAGGAGCCCTAGTCATATATCAGGAAGTCTGGATCTAAGCGAACCCCTTGGTGATCCCATCTGAGGGGTGTCTAAAGTCCCTTGTGCTGACTTCCTAGGGAGAGGAAAAAGCAGCCAGATTCCAACCTGGATGCAAGTTCAGCCACAGGTTGGTGAACCTGTGACCTATGAGACTGACTAAGTCACATTTACAGAATGGGGCAATTGTCCTTTCTGAGAGTGGCTGTGGGTATGGGCAGATGTCTCCCTACTATTGGAAGAATCTTCTCCTGTCAGACTTAGATATGACACAGCTGTGCTTAGCAGTGTGTCCAGTCCCCAGCTGTGCATCCGAGTCACAGCCAGAGGCAGGCATGAGGGGTGGGAGAGTGGCTTGGTGGTGGTGGTGGGGCAATATTCTCAGCTGAGAAGGGCAAGGGGTGTCACACATTCCGAGCAATTGATGAGCCAGTGGACACCCCAGACAAGGCACCCAGAAGGTGCCAACCTCTGTCTTGCCATCTCTACAAACCCCCTCAGCAGAGCAACCATAGATCATAATCATAACTTAGTGCAGGATGAACCTTTGTGGTCTCAGTCACCATTGATTTGGGACCTTCCCTCTCTCCAGCCTTGCTGGGCCCTGTCCCTCTTCTGTGTGCAGTCCCCTCCCCTCTCCTCACCTTGGCACAGACTCTGACTCCAAGGTCAGTAACAAATGTGTGTGGTGCTAATGAAAGTTTCCAGAATCAACCACAACTGAGCCTTCTAAACACTAATTAGCTAATGAGAACTTCCTTTGCTTTAGGGAGGTTAGAGCATTGAAGATCAAGAACCTAATGTTACCTTTTCTCTGTCTTTTGTCTCCTGAATATCCCCTGTTGGATTTAACACCTCATGATAAGAGATAAAAACCATTAGGGATGTGTTAACTTAGCAGACCACTAGCTTCCACCAGCCCACAAGAGAGAACATTAACAGACATCCGAGGCCGGTAACCATCTCTGATGTTTCTCCAAATGTCTTGAAAATATGTTCATTTATGAATTTCTTTTCTGTTACTGTAAAACAACAGGAGAAAGAACTGGTTTTCATGTTGGAAGATGGACTTTGTTGTAACCTAACTCTGTGTTCCTGGGCCATGGTCCCTCCTATTTGGCTGTAGAATAAACTGTGTCTTACCCCTTTGAGGTGAGAGTTATATTTTTGTGTTGGCAATGGAAATGAGCAGCTGCCTCCCAACCCTAAGCCTGGGCTTGGGACTTGATGTCAGCTTCTTTGTCCTGCATCAATTTAGCAGTCTCCCCAATTGGAGGAGAGTGTTCACTCACAGTGTCCGCCCTGGCAGCGTCACCTACAGGAAAGAAAGCACAGAATGGAGCGGTGGGAATGGAGGAGTGCCCCCACACATGGAGCCTCCTGAGGGAGGTTTCCTTTGGTGTCCTAGAGCTTCTGGAAGGAGGAACAGCACTGCACCTGGTGCCTTTGATAAGGAAGAATCGTGGAACTTTTGTGCTTGGCCCCTGGCTGGCTGCACCAGCCCTTAGAGGAAGCACTGAGAGTCGGGATACCTGCCGAGTCTTCCTGGTTCTCATGTCCCAGGAGAAAGAACTGAAGCAAATGCACGGTGAGGAGTCAGTAAGAGCCGTTTATTTAGGGATGAGGACATGCTTGAGGATGGGAGTGGACTGGGGACTGGGCAAGGCTGGGCATCTTGGCTTATTTACACAGCACACATCTCTCGAGCTTGTGTTTTGTGGGTTCTTCTCTCCCATGCCTTGTTTCTGATAGTGGAGATGGGGGGAACTGTCCAGTCTTTCTGATAACTGACATCTTCCACATTTCGTCCAGAGGCCACCCTCTCTGGTTCCTCTTTGGCACATCCTTCGTTCCCTGTCTTAGGCTCCAGTTGGACTCATTTGCCCACTGCTATGCACACTAACCTGCCGTGATCAACTGTAGGCCTGGATCTCTGTCCCACGGATCTGATGGCACAATTGTTCCCCCTCTAACAGTGTCTCCACTGTCCCCATTCCGTCTAGTTCCTTCCCCCTGACCTCAGCATGTCTTCGGAGCTGGGGTGACTAGTTGGAGCCTGATCAGAGTGTCTTGTAGAATTTGGTGAGCATCTCCAACTTCCCCTCCAGCTCCTGAGCTAGCATCCTGAGTACTCCAGCAGACTCTGACTGTGTGCCTTCGTACAAATGCTTTGACTTTTTCACAAGGCTGTCAACATCTTTCAAGAGAGACACACCTGCAGCAGTGGCACTCCTGATGCGGGCTTCATTGCTCATCACCAGAGGGGTTCCTTTCAAAGTGGTCTGCACCCGTCTAGCACGTTGGGATGAGATCTTTCCTGTGGCGGCGAGGATCCTGGCATCTTCCTCTAAGTGAGGGTTGGCTCTAACCAGCCTGAGGGCATCCATGTGCTGCTGAAGGGCTTTGAGGTCATTGGTGATATCTTTGGCAGCCTGAGGTAACTTGCCGGCTATCCTGGCCATGGTTGTTTCAGCCTCCAGCACTTCCATGCCGGTTGAAGCAAGGTGACTGACTTTCTCTTTTTCCGAAAAACGGCTTGTTTCCTCCACAATTGAAGTAGCAACACTAGTCACAGTAGCTGCTACCCCCAGGCCCAACCCAGTTGCTGAGAGCATCAGACTGCCCTCTGCTGTCACTGGAGCCAGAAACAGACTAAGGAGGCCCAGCATGTCGGAGGCAGTGCTGAAGGAGTCAGCCACTAAGTTGGAGATGGCACAGCCCCTGTGCACTGACTCAGCATGGTCAGCCAGGGCCCGGAGCTGCATGATTTGCTCCTCTGCCTCTGCTCTCAGGCGAGGAAATGCTTTCTGAAACTTCTTCCTGCCCTGGAGGTCTTCTTGAAGCCTGTGTCTGTCTGCTAGGGCTGAGAGCGCAGTCAGGTCCCTCAGCAATTTGTGCAGGGCAAGCGCCTTATCCCTGTAACAGCAGAGGTCAAGTGCATGAGAAAGACAGCCCCTGTCATTAAAATAGGCTGTGTCATGCCCTCTACATCATTTACACCATCACCATCCAACAGGAACTCTAAAGATGTGTGCAAGTTCCCCTTTGGTGGGTGATGTTAGGTATTTCAAAGACAAACTGTGGTCCTTAGTAGGGACTGAATCATCATAAGGGCTGGGGACCCTCTGAGGGGAAGGTGCTTGCCATGTAAACATGCAAACCTGAGTCCCATACCTCAAACCCAAGAATACAGAACCAGGTCCAAGCACATGGCTTTGTAATCTCGGTGCGGGCTAGACAGAGACTGGTTGATCTTTGGACCTCACTGACCAGCTAGTCCAGTCTACTTGGCAAATGTGAGTCCAGTGAGAGACCCTGTCTGAGACAACATGGACAGCACCCAGGGTGGCGCTGAGGTTGTCCTCTGACCTCCTGTACACATATGTGCACCTGCACATGGCACCCACATGTATGCACATGTCTTGTGACAGTCATCATAAGAGGTGTGCTAGCAGTAGACATTGCAGAAAGACGCTTAACTGCTGTCAGGCAAACGCCTCCCCTCCAGACAGATGTGCTGAGGGGTGGTTAAATGCCTCCACCAACATATGTGTGTGCTGAGGGGAGTCTTCAGATGCACACAGAATACAGAATGACATCAGAGGCCCCCTTCATTCAGGGAGTGTTGGCGTACTGCAGAGAGGTCATCTCTCCCAAAGATGAGATATCTCATCGTCCTTAGCTGTGGGGATGTCCTCTCCAGTTCTGGCCTGCCAGAAAGGTGTGTTCACTCGAGCCCTTCAGGCAAGCTGCCGTGCTACTTGAACATCTTGAATCTGAGAGAGTCTAATGGCGGGACCGCCCTCTGACCATGACTGCCTCCGTGTGCTCATCTCTGCATTCTAAAATTACTCTCCCCCAGACCCCAAAGATCGACTCGGGAGACACCGTGTCATGGTCAGCTCTTCCCCATGTGGCCCCTTCCCCCTTTCCCACTCATTTGGCTGTTTTGTTGGATTATTGAGGTTGAGTGGCTGAACCTGACTTCTCGGGTATAGACTGTGACCAGGAGTTTGGTACCAAATGTGGGCGGTGAGCAGCAGCTGTCTCCCAGTCATAAGTCTGGGCTCAGCATCAGCTACCAGTCCATGAATGTCTTTGCCCTGCACAAGTTCAGCCCAATGAGTAGCAATGAATAGTGTTCTCTGACCTTGACACACGTGACCATGCACATGTATCATACAAATCTCACATACTATAATCCACTAATTTCAAAAACAAAATGTCCTCTCCCCTGTGAGCCCCATGTTTCCTCAACCTAACGCAGCTGCTTGCCAGGGACAACATGTTCGAATAGTTCCCAAGGACTGTTGAGGAGTGCCCTCGACTCCATCCCCTGGGACTGTCTGGAGTGGGTGTGCCTGCCCAGAGAGAACCAATCATGCAGGGGTTTAGGGGCAGCACTGGGACATCCCATAGCGGTGACCTGGACAACTTGGCCTTAGACACGAATGCCTCCCAGGCGCCATCTTCAGTCACTAGGCGATGCAGGTCATCTCTGTCTGCCATGTCCTGGAGATGGCCAGGGGCTTCCTTGATGAAGTGTCTGCTCTCTGTGATAAAAAACAAAACAAAACAAAAGCAAAAACAAAAAAGAAAGTCAGAGACAGGGCAGAGGGTCTGAGTTGGGGGCAGAGGTGGTGGCACTGAGCATAAGGTTCTTCCTGCCATGTCATGAGTGTTTGTCACATAATGTCCTGCTGATCAAATCACCAGTGCTGTGGACAGAATTGTGTCCTTTGGTTTCTATGCATGAGGCCCAGTGTCTGTATTTATAGATAAAGTCACCATGGCAGTGAGGTCATTGCAGTGAAACAATAGAAACACAGACCTTCATGCACAGTCCTGGGGACATCCCTCCCTTCTCTTTCCTCCCTCCTCCCTCCCCCCTCCTCCTTCCTCCCTCCACCCTCCCTCCTCCTTCTTCCCTCCTCACCCTCCCTCCCTCTTCCCTCCTCCCTCTTTCTCTCTTGCCTCTCCCTTTCCCTTCCTCTCTCTCATGCAAACACTGCAGCAGAGACTTTGTAAAGATCCAGGGAGTCTGCTCCCACTGCAAACCATGAAGACAGCCTCACACTGACCAACCTGCCTCCCCTTCATTGTTGACATTGCCTTCCAGAGCTGAGAGAAAAGACAGCCTTTTGTTCTCCCTCAGCCTTTGACATTGTGGGACTTATTGTGGGATTACACACACACACACACACACACACACACACACACACACACACACACCTGCACAAGGGAGGGGCCACTTGCTTACAGGGAAACGAACGTGTTCGTTTCAGAGGAAATGGAAAGTGAAGACTGGAAGAGGGAGAATTTCAGTGCTGGTTTACATCCAGTTTGAATATCTGCCACATCAAACACTGTGGCACCAGCACCTTAAAGGTGACTTTCTCTGGTTCTGACACTAGTTTATTGGGTCAAAGAGGAACATTGGAAAATGGAATAGAATTGATATCAGAGTGTGTTGAACACAGCAAGGATAGTGTTTTTTGGAGTTATCTTTTGCTCATAATGAAGGCATCCATGTAGAAATCAGAGCCCAAAATGACCCGCTTTGGAGAAGATTACAGAAGTATTTCTTCCTCAGTGGGAGCTTTGCAATCTATGGACTCTCAGAAATCACACAAATAGTCAGCGAGTCATGCTGTATGGCTACCCAGTGCAAAAGCCACTGCCACCTCCTGTCCCCATTGTCCCCCACCCAGAATTCAATAACACAGTGACTCCTTGACTCCGTCCTGATCAACAAGACACAAGAAGGCAGCTGCTCAGGGTTTTGGGGCACTTACTAAAGGCACTGGTGTGTAGGAGAGTTGCTGTCCTTACCACTTCCTCCTGCTCAACAGGTACAGGACCTAAGAGGCTGTCAGCTGAAAGGTTGGAAATTCGGGAGACAGTATGCATTACTAAAGTGTCTGCATCTTATGGGCCTTTATGAGTTTGGGACGGAGAGATGACTCTGGCAGAGTTCGTGCCAAGCATGCCCTATACTCTGGGATTGATATCTACCCAGTACCAAAAAATAAATCATATATAAAATTTTATATAAAAATCTGTCTTGCTCTCCCTGCATCAAACCCTCCTTCTGGCCTGCAGGACTGTGACTCTCCTGATAAGTGACTCCTTGGTTGTGTCCCAGGAGATGTGAAAATGATCCTGTTCTTTTCCGCTCCTGGCCATGTGAAGTCCCAAGCTGAGAGCCTCCGTTCTCCATTAATGTACAAGCTCTCCAAATATGGCCATGCAGGGGCTCTCAGCGCATGCTCCCCTTGTCTGTCTGACTTCTTCATTGGGGCAGACAGGGGTGAGGACAGCAGGCTCCTACCTGAGAATCTGCAATTCTCTTTCAGGTCAGGTTCAAGAGTTTGAATCCATCACAAAGGCCCCTAGCCTGCTGGAGTTCCTCCTCCTAATCCCCTAAGCATCTCCAGTTTTTCAAGCCTACACTGGGCTCTTCCCGCCCCATAAAATGCCTCCATCCTCCACCCCTTGAAATCTCACAGGCCACGTCTTTCTGACTGGCTTCCTCATCCCTCCCTGGAATGAACACAGTGTTTTCCTGGCCCCCTCTCCATTAGTCTTGGTTCTTCACCAGTGACAGTCATAATCCCAGTGGTAGCCCAGTGCTGGTTCAAGAACCATCCAAGTTGATTTGTCCTCCTGGGCCCCTGATGCCCCTGATGTGGGCTCTGGGAGACATTTACTAACCACAGCGTCCCCATTCTCTGAGGACATAGCATCATTAAAGGAAAAATGAATGATGGCTTTTTAATTTTCTTCTTTCTCCTCCTGTCCTCTTCTTATCCTCCCTAAGCTTCTAAAACATTCTCTTCTTCTACAGGCACAGAGGACTAAAACCCCTCTCTCAGCACAGACACCTGAAGTCTGACCCTTAGATTAAGAAATCACTCAGTGTTCTGCTCACGTGATCATTCTCATTTTCCATCCTTTCCACCACATTGACCCCCTTTCCTGCCTAACAAACAGGGAACTACTCCCTTCTCCATCCCCACAGATGGAACAGACGCCAGAGGAGGCCCAGAGGAGGTTTGCATGTACTCCACTTGCCCGTCCTTCCTTGTGTTTAGTGCAGAGAAAAGGAGCCAGGTACCAATCTGGCTGCAAGTTCTTCTGCAATGATGCCTTAGTTTACTGCATTCATCCCAGGAGTGAGACAATTATCTCTCTTTCCCAAGGTAAAATTGTGAGGATGAGGAGGTTGAGGAGCTGAAGAGGCTCAACTTACCGGAGATTCACAGCCTGGATGAGCTCAAACAGGACCCAGATGGCCTTAGCTGTGTAGATCTAGCCACCAACTGCACATATGAGTCATAAGGAGAAGCAGACTCTGGGCTGATGGACCCAGCAGGGAAATGGAAAGTGAAAGTCTCATCCAGGCAGCCCTGATCCAGTCAACACCCTGGAATGGAGACCTGGAGCGTGTCACTCACAACCCCACCCACCTTGCTGACTTCATCTCAATATTGCTATTCTGCTCTGGCCAACCAATCTCTTGTGGAGGTCCCCATGGTGGTAAGACCCACCACCACAAACTGTGGAGCTCTCCACAGATCAGTCCCAGCTCTTTACTGTTCTGGAAGCTTCCCAGTGCCTTAGCACACCTCCATGCCCTCCCTTCTCGCACTTGAGCAGAACATCCCTGTCCCAATTGGTTGATGAGGACAGAGCTGCTGAGGGTGGCAGGCACAGCGCTTAGACATCTGCCCGTGTGGATTCCTCTGCCTCCCGCTTCTGCTCTGCGCTCAGACCCCTCACACATCGACTCCTCTGTGAATCCCAGCATCTTCCATGGCAGACTCCCTAGCTGCCAGATTGGCTCCCGTGACCCCTTGAACAGAGGAACCAAAGCCCGCTGCTGACAGAAGTCCTGTGCCTACAATTTTAGGTAGCGATGGCTGTGGAATACCTCAGCTTTGATCCAGGCAGTAGGAGATTTAAACATGGCTGGACCTCAGCGGTCAACTGACCCATGTGTCAGCAAAGGCTCCATTCCACACTATGTCCTTAGGGTTTGGTGGCCGTTCCTACTCTTGAGAGGACAGGATGTCATACTGGATTTCCACACTTCTGCTGCCTACACGCTCGAACATTTGACTGGACTTTAATCAGGACCTGGCTGCAGATTCACCTGAAAGAGAGAAATAAGAATTTTGTCCTCCAGGGAATTAAGCAGAGCACATCCCACCTGGGCATCCTGAAGATATGCTAAAATATGGCTCAGATGACCAGTGCCATGACAAGAAATGTCATTCAGGGCAGCTGCCACTTCAGAGGTGGGGATGTCGAAAAGACCTTTGGCCTAGAGGCTGTTGCAGATACTGGGAGTGTGACCTTAATGCAATGGGAAGCAGCCCTGCAAAGGCTTTGGTAAGCAGATGGTGAACAACAGCACCACCTAGTGGACTGCAGAGGGGTCATCAGTCAAGGCATCTGGGTACCCTGGTTATTATATCCATCCATCCGCACTTAAGAGCACAGAGCTCAGTGAAGAGTGTGCTCAACTCAAACATCCTGGGTACTGTATTAGATGCCCTAAAACATGGGTCCATCTCTCTATTGGTCTCCCTTTATCTAGGGACATCACAAAGTAGGGACAGGGGTCTTACAGTTATCCATGTGAAATGGGGCTTTTGAAGTCACTCAAGAGACAAACATTCCGGGACACAGGGAATAGAAGCACATCCCACAGTCACAGGTCTGGGTGACCATGTGGAAGTAGAAGAGGCAGACACTGCCCCCAGGCAGTGAGTTTACTCAACAGTCTGAATCCAAGAATAGCAAGTGTCAACTTCAAGGAAGATCGCAGAGGAACAGTATTAGGGGATCAGGTGTCACTCATTATCATATTTTTATGACAAAGTGCAGGAACCTCACCTTCAGATTGACACACACACAGGTCAGGATTACCAGGCTTATCTGCGGGGGAAACACATCAGCTCTGACTCCCGTCAAGACAGGATCTAGTGATTGACACAGAGCCTGTGGCTTGCCTTGAAGACTCTCTGCTGAGTCCTCAAGATGGTGCCAGTGAGCTTCAAAGAGAGAGAGGAGCCAACTTCAAGTTCAGTGGTTCCCAAACAGGAGTGGGGAGGAGAGAAAGGAGGGTCCATGATCGTCACTCCACCAGGTAGCTCTGCAGGATGGGCTAAGGGCACCACTCACTCCTTATTCACTAGACACAAGCTTGGCTGGTGTCACTGTCATGCCACTAGGCCTCAAATATCTCAAGATTTTCCCTAGATTCCACCCCCTCTGTTGTAGTAGACTAGGGAGATGGGTCTTGCTTGGTCTCCAATGGCTGCTGCTATTGGCCCAAGCTATTCAATGTATTCCAAAGCCTGTCTCCATTGCCAGATAAAAACAGCAACTGCAATGTGGACAGTACAGTCTACGAGGCAGCAATTGCAGATTGTGCCCTACACTGTACCATTCTGCTTCCTGCACACACACACACACACACACACACACACACACACACACACACACACACACACAAGGAAACTGACCCAGTAGTTAGTTGAAAGCCCTGAACTGTGAACTGATATTGAGATGCAGACAGAGAGTATCTGTGTGTTCCATCTTGGGGAGTGGGGTGTGTATTTGCTCCTGTCTTGGACTTTCCAGATCATTGGCAGGTTACGAAGTTATGTGTCTGGTTGAGGAGGAGGACACAAACGCTATAACCAAGCATGTGAGTGTAGAATAATTGAACATTTACACATACTGCTTGACATAAGACTCCCTTCAGGGCCACCTCTATCATCTGTTGTTCTCCTCATTCCTTGGCTTGATAGTCCAAGAATCCTCTCACCTCCTCCAACCTTTTGAGTCTCCTGGGAATTTGCTATTGTACTGTCGGGGACTTAGGGGTCAAGATGTTTGGACCTAAGCCATCTGATGGCAGAGCACTGGGAGGGTATCCACACGTTCCTTTTTTTGGATCTGGGTTCTCATGTCTGGGACTTGAGTTGATTTTGTTCTTTTCTATCCTCTGAATGTATAATTTTTTTGTTTATGAGTTCTCTTTTTGTCCAAAGCAGCCAACTCCAATTCTGTTGTTTTCTACCCAGAGCACCTGATTTCACAGTTATCATGAATGAAGTCGTGATCCAGGCCCAAGGGAAACGTTAGCACTTGGATCCGGATGTACTCAGTGCCCAAACAACATCTAGGAAAGAATGTAAAGTAGGAAATGGATAATATTTGATCAGAAAGTGAAACACATTATTTGGATGAGTTGTTAAAAAGTGACAATGGCTCTGTGGACTTCTTCAGGAGAAATGGAAGAGCCCATTGCAGGTCACAAGGGAATCCAGGCCAATGGGCAGTTAGAGAAACAGTAAGAAGTCTTCAGCAGGGTTGTAGACACTAAGGGACTCACTGAGCCCTGAAGCCTCCCTAGGAGTGACAGGTGGTGTTGGGAAAGGTTTGCATGCCCCACACTCGTGGCCCTGGATAGGGAGGGCTTCCACTCAGTTGTGTGCATGGATATATGGAGACTTGATGCTGCTAGTGTGGACTCACATAACAGTAGATTCTGAGGATGGTCCCTTAAATCTCCTCAGAATGTTCTGGTAAGTTTAGTTATTCATATGGAATGTGGAATGAAGAATGGTCATTTTATCACTCCTGCTTTTCCCTCTGTCATTCCTCACAGTCACTCAACTGGCTCCAGAATCAGTCCGTGATAAGCTACTGTATGATCCTTACCCCTGGAGGTGCTTTGGACCCCTCTGGTACAACACTCACCTGTATTTGTCATGACATTGTAGCATTTGTCTAAAGGGTAGTTGCAGCCATCAAGGAGTTGCAAGCTGGCATTTAACCAAACCTGTGTTCGCAAGACCAAGAAGACTCCTTTGGAAAATATGCAGGGTCAGTGAGACAGAAGAAATCTATTGCAGGTCAGTAAGGGACCCAAAAGCAGATTGGAGGAGGGGTTTTGCTGTCTAGCTGTCTCTATGTAGTTGTCACCTTTATACAGATCCCTGAGCCTAGGCAAACATGGCCTTGCATGATGGGGAGGAATGCACCTGTGCCCATCACCCCAACAGAGATTGTTCCAGAGGGGCCTGCAGAGACCAAAGGAAGTGCCTGACTAAGAGGGAGAGAAAGAGATAGATAGGTAGGGAGAGAGAGAGAGAGAGAGAGAGAGAGAGAGAGAGAGAGAGAGAGAGAGAGAGAGAGAGAGAGAGAGAGAGAGAGAACATGAAGCCGATAGAGGACTCAATTCCTTGACACCACACAGAAGGTTCACTGTCACGCCCGCCTTGACTAGCAAGGAAGACGCAACGCCCAGACTCTTCTTTAAGCAGTTTATTCAGGAACCTTGAACAATCTTCTTCTCCCGGGGAGTGCCAGGGAGCCCCAACCCACAGGTTAAAAGCCCTTGGGCGGCCAACCCCAGTATGCCAGGTGGAACATGCAGATAGGTCCACGTACGAGGAAGCAAGCCTGATATCCAGCCTTAACCAAATACAGGTGTTGCTTATCATAGAGAACACCTGCTGTCGGGCTAGCAGAAGGCGGAAGCCAGCACCATCTTAAGGGTGCGGCACTTCGGAGCTCTCTACAGTTCACAATGAAGAGAAGCCAGGCATGTGATAGCTAGGTCATCAGTCAGCCCAAACTGCACAGGTTCAGTTTGTCATTGCAGAGACCCAACTTGGCTTGACTGCAGCCATCTTGAGATGCAGCCATCAAGAATGTTTACGAGAAATCCTACTCAGCTTTCCCTGCCATTTCAGTGGCACATGGGTCGTTACCACACGACTCCTGTGCTGGCAGTGTTAGAAATGGGCCTGACATCCTCGATGTCACTGAGGCAAGAACAGTCCCTTTCTGGCTACGGTGAATGTCCATTATCCTGCTCGCCCCACAAGCCCTCCTAAGCCCTGGCCGGCCACCAGGCTTCCCGCTTCCCTTGACCTCACATTGTCCATGGCTCCCCATTAATGTTGACAGTAGGTGACATCCCAGCACTTTCTATTTCTTTGTCCCATGCCACCTTCTCTGGCATGGTTGGCTGCTCTCCATTTTTCCTTGAACAGTCAATGAAGCTTATTCAACCCAAGTCTGTAGAGCATAGGGTAATCAGAGCCAGGTGACCGAGACATTGTCTTGGCCAGCACTCCTACTCCCAGCTCTGGAAGAAACTGAGGCTTATGGGCTGCGTCTCATTCTGCCTTTCAATTTCTCTCTCTCTGTTTGTGTTTTGCAGGGGTGGGGTGGGTACCATAGCAGGCTTAGGGTTGTCAATGAACAGCTTGAGGCAGTCAGTGTTCACTTTCCTCCACGGGAGTCCACAGGATCAAGTTCATATGACCATGTTTGGCGGGAAGTGCCCTCAACCAGTAAGCCACCCTACCAGACCAAAC